TAATAAAGGAATATCACTCACAATATATTTCTGAATGGATCTTTCAATTAGAATCACAATCACAACCTAACACAAAACTACCTCACAAGGATCAAATTTCTGCAGAGCTTTATATAATTAAGAGGATAAAATGCAGATTGTATTCAATGCATGATTGCACTGGTGAATAATAAATACTACAGTGCGACTAAAGCAGTTGATTAAGGATAACAATCCAATGTTATATATATCTTTAGCTAAGAATTACCTTTTTGGTACATCCACCTTCATTGATGAGAACTGTATTCACACGTTTCACCAGGTTGAGTTCGTGCCATCTCTCGTTCATGAGGATCGAGTACAGAAAACTGTACTTTACTTGAAGCTCACGCTTTGTGTCTGAGACGGACTTCTCTTTGCCAGACACTGCGTTCATAATCTCGACAAGATAAGGGTGGTTCGTCTTCAATTCGACCCAAATTTTATTGAAATCGAAACTGTTCATGCTCTCAAATTCATTTCCATATAAAACGGAACCTTGCGAACGTTTGCACAGCTTTGCACACGACGTTTTCAACTCCTCACTGCTGGTCTTTTTTAACTCGTCCACAACACTTGGACAGTAATCTTTCAAGATAGCCGTCAACACAGTTGCATCCCTGTTACTGACAGCTTGTAGAATCATTTTCTGCTGTCTTTCAGTCAATAACGATTGAGCTTCTAATGAGGTGCAATCATTATCTCCTATTGATTTAGGCCTTAGAACAGATTGCCGAGTTAAAAAAAATGGCTGCCCTTCAGACCTTGGTGTTGTTAGCCTCGACGACTGATCCACCGAAGTGGCTGCACAATCATGTCCTGTAGACGTGGCAATAACACTAGCATCTTGGGGAGTTGAGAAAGACGGCTGTTTTGCAAAAATTGATGTTGTTCGCTTCGCCTGATCAATAGAAGTTATTTTGAAGCTATCTCCTGATGATATAGGCGTTAAAACAGTCGCAACTTGGGGAGTTGAGAAGGAAAGCTGCTTTGCAGATTTTTTTGGTGTGATTCGCTTCGACAGCTCATCTGCTGAGGTGACGCATGAGCTTTCGCATGGCAAATTCTTTGATACACGTTTCGACGGCTGAAGCGAAGAAGGTGAAAGTTGTACACATCTCTTTACAGCATATTCAGAACTTTGATCGGACGACATATTGTCCATGGATTGAGCTCTCTGAATAAACTGTTCCATCTTGTTTACGAATGTAACGCAACTCCGACATGCGATCTTTGATCTCGTATCGTCCTCAAAAATAGTTATACCACAGGTTTTATGGACTTTTGCACACAGATCTTTTGATGAACCAGCTTTGCTAAATATTCGAAGCATATGACGACTCTCGCGAGAATCACCGCAGAGTCTGCAAACCGGATTTCTAGAAGAAATCTTTGTTGGTGTAGGCATACTTTCCGCCATTATGACTTCGGAATAATGCATAAATTATATTTTATGACCAAGGTTCACATAAATTATTTAAATCAATCAACCAATCAAAATGTTGATCTGACCGGCCGATGCCAGGGCCTTTTCCCGCCCCACCCCCAACTAAGGGAAAAGGCCCTGGGAACGAGGTTGGAATATATCGAGTACCCCTCCGGGCTTTGAATTTGTCTTCTAAAGTTGTACTAAGCTCATTAAAAAAATAAATAAAAGAGGAAAAGCCCATTAAGTAACTGCTTCTCACAACAATATTTTCGGTGGAACGTGATAACTTCCTTTTCCCTTTGCTCTGATTTCCTGGTTCTAGCGATGACGATTTAGAACGTTATTTACGCTGGTCAAGGAGTGAAAAGCAACGAGTTTGCGTGACAAACACTTTAACGAAATAAACAGCAAGTCTAGTCGATCAAAGGGGGAACTATTTTCGCCTTCCGATATCTTACACAATGGAAACACTGTGCGCGTCTGCTGAAACTAAGTAAACAGAGCTTTGACCCCATGCGAGTGAAAGAGACAGTGACGCATTTTCTGTTAAACACAAGATAAAGGCAAATCGAATAAATTTATTCTTGTCGTGGTCTGAATTGAAACAGCCGGTGAGAACATCTCATTATCAGGTTCATTGTAGGCTTATTTTTGTACTTTTCGAGTTTGATGCAGAAGATAAATATTAGTGAGCGACAGTTGTCAAATACGAATTGTTTACCTAGGCTGTATCTGATATCTGTCTACATGACCGCTCCTGTAATAAATCAGAGTAAACAGTTTAGGTCGCTCGAGGTATGGATGTTCTTTAAACAACATGCTGAAATGCTCATTTACCCGATCCTGTGCCTAAAGAGAGGTAAATTTTCATTTTCACAGTGACAGCAAAGGTAGTTTATTCATAGTGTTTTCGTATTGACTTCAGAAGTGGTTCTTTGGGTAGTCTAGCAGTTCCAACAGTGGAAGGCCGCATATAGAAATATATCGAAGGGTAAGCGAGAGGGATATGTGGCCTCGAGCAAATTGTGTTGTATCGCCTCATGAGAACTGGACTGGATTTTCTGAGGTAGAAAAAAAAAAATTTCAAGATGCTGGTTGGCAGTTTAATGCCAACAGCAGACAATTTCCGGAGCCATTAAGTTATTAGCGTTTTCCAAGAGTAGACCACTTCAATAATCATTGTCAGCAGGAGCAAATTCTTTGGAGTGCACGTCAAATATGAAAAAAAGGTTTTCTTTCAAAGTGTATAAGAAATCAGGTCTCTTTTGCATGTAATAAAAACCGGCAACTTTGAAATAAAGAGATATTGGCCTGAAGAATCGCATCAAAGGATCAGCTATAAGGTTTTGATGGCAAAATTCGTGAGGGTCGCGTTCTTGGTGAATGAATCAGAAATTGTAGCATAGGTCCAGGTTATTTGACAGCTATTTTAGTTCGTGTACGTTTACGATTTTCTTTTACGAAAGATGCCATGTATTTCTCTTTGAGTAAACATTTTTGGTTGGGCATTAAGCTCTTAAAATGGCAATTACGAAGTGGAAACATTTTCAGTATTATCGTTGACACGCTGCCATCGACAATAAAAATGCGTAGATGCTGTTTGCAGTCAGTATTAGAGAAACTCTACAACCTATAAATGTGGAAGGAATTCGCCGCGATAATGCGGAATTATACTTTGCAGTTCTCCTAAGTCTCTACATATTTTGGGTAATAAAGCACTCGCACTTTAAGAGTTGTGGAGGTAATCTTTTTTATGTCCTTGTGGTCTAAGCTCAAATCTAATTTCAAAATTCCTGTGTAGTCACGCGCTTTTTCATTCAGTAGCATTGATAGTTTTCTCACCTTTTCATTGTTTATATTCAAATTTTTTACCCTTGTCATTCCAAGGAGTATTGTCTGAATGTTTTAGTTATTTGGCTTGTGACTGCCTTGTGACTGCCGCGTCCACTGTGCTATGTATTTGGGAATTTAGTTAGAGAAATGACTTGCACTGATAGTTTGAAGCTCTATATAACTTTATTTCGCTAAATGCGCCATTGTTGAAAAAAATGGAATGGTAACTAAGAATGTGTAATTATCCTTTGATTTGAATGATGTAACTCTGTAAGAACTTGTACAGAATTCGGCTTCATCGATGCCACAAGGCTGAGCTATAGTTCTTGAGTTTTCAACTGCTGGGTAATTTCAACTAAGGCGTAAGAAAGACAGCTCAGGAAATGCGACAGTAATTGACAACCGTGACTCCCCTAGCGTGAGTATCGTTTTAATCATATTTTGGTAAAGGATTCGAGTTCGTTCTAATCAAGAAACGTTTCACAAGGCTTCGGTTTTCTCATCTTAAAATGTACCTTGTTACGTGATCCTTACCTTTATGAACCCAAGGGCTTAAAATGTTTTCCATTTGGCCATCATGAATGCATCGAGTGTTAACATTTAAACCGGATCAAATTTCAAATCATTGACGCATTATCCTCGAATGCTGTGGGCTATGCCATTTAAGTATTTTTTTTTTTAATTTTGTTTGTTGTTTGTGGCAATATAAATATTTCATGGCTTGGTATGAACGTCTTTATTCGGGATGTTTTACCGCTGGGTAGTAAAGATAACCTTGAACGCAGTGGCTGTATTTTCGCTGGTTCGTCTTGAAGTAAACGAGGAATTTTTTTTGTTTTAGGCTGGAAAATACAAAGATAGCCAACAGACATGGAAAAGTGTCCGTCAACTGCGGTATGGCGAGTTCTTCTTGTCCTGTGCATGTACTTTATCACCCAAGGCCTTTTAGTTACTGGCACAAGCCTCGGGGGTGATATAATTGTTGATACAAACCTTACCCTGAATGGAACACCTTACACTGTGTCCCAAGATCTCGTTGTAGCCGAAAATGCCACCTTAACCATTCAACCCGGAGTCCAGCTACACTTTCACGGTGGAGTCGCTTTGAGAGTGAAAGGTTCCCTGCAGGCAAAGGGAAACTCCCGTGATCGAGTTGTTTTCACCAAAATGCAGAGGAACAGCTCAGGATATCTGGACGATTTGAACGGCACAAATCCTTACCACAGTGGAATTCGTCTTCACAATGGAAGTAGCTATACAGTCGGACGGCTGGAAATCTTCCTCAATGGAAAATGGGGAACTGTATGCAATGACGGCTGGCAAATGGAGGATGCTCAGGTAAATCAAATGGATCTCGCCTTTTACTCAAATTTTTGTTAGGTCCTTAGTGAACAAGGATGAATAATTGTTTATAGATTTCTAATGCAAAAGGATAAGGCCTTTGGCAAACGAAATGTGTGTTGAATTATCTGATAACGCTTAATTCAATTTCATTGTTTTAGTCATCTTAAAGTACAGCTAAACTTCAAAGATTTGTCGTTTCTTTGAGGAAAGTTTCTTTGTGATTATGCTGACCAAGACAACTTGACTTGTCAGTGCTGATCTCTGCAAAAGTGTTCATGTTTATTTGTAAATTGATGAGCATAATTTATTAAGAAACTCAGTCCTGAGTGTCCCCCTTTAAGATTTGTTTATCTGGAATCTCTTGCCACAAAAACGTAGCCTATCTAAGACAGGTAGAGCATGAGGTAAGAAAGGAAATTTAATACAAAAGTTGTGATAGAAACCTGATGGAACGACGATTAAGAAAGGCCCGAGATAAACAGTTACTTAAATGTTGGGCTCAAGAAGAACTCTTCTGAAAATTCGTACTGATCAGTTTCATTCACAGTTTATTAAAGACTATCACAATAGTGCAGCTGAATGATATTTTATCATGAATTACAGGTTGCTTGCAGACAGTTGGGTTTTCTTGGAGCCAAACGGTACTACACACACGGTGGAGGGAGTGGACCAATTTGGCTATCTAACGTGGACTGCCATGGAACGAGTCACGAAACTCTAAGTCTGCTGCAATGCAGGCATGATGGGATTGGAAGACACTCTTGTAGTAAGTTACACCTAATAGAACGTAAGCTCAGTTCGGGATAGTTGGTAAATGTATGTTATTTCGCATTCTTGAGGTTAAACAGGAGGGATTTGGAAATATTCGCAAAATTGCAAAGAACTATGTCTTTTTGAAGCAGGATGTCAAAAAATTGTCCGCATTCATCACAATATTGATATTTAGAAGTAATCTCCTGCTTTTAATTTTCAAAATCGAAGACCTTTGTGTCGCGCAGATTAAGCTCTTGGATGAAACTTTGAGTACATACGCTGTCTATGTTCATGTCGAGAGCCGATAACGGGAAACATGAAAAAAAGCACATCTCTTCTTATTGACGAAGTATGATATCGATAAGAAAGGAAAAGAAAGAAGATGTTCACCCGTGTTTCATTCCTGCAACACGATGAAATGAATCCCTATCTCCATTCTTCTCGACCTACGGGCAAGACAAAAATATTCCACGAACATCATAGGTGAACATCATAGACCCAAGGAACTCTTTTCCCGACACATGGATTTAAAGAAAAACATAATATAAATGCAATTACAATGATCCAAGAATATCTCGCGCGCTCACCGTTTTTTAATTCAGCAGCGATTTGGGGGTTTACTTGCTTTGCCGCCATGGCGTCTGTTGAAGTCCTAAATTTAATAATGCTCCCAAATGTAATTAAGTCCTAAGTGTAATAAATGTCCAAAATGTAATAAAGTCGTAATTATATTAACATTGGGTCCTAAATGTAAGTAAAGTCTTAAATATAATAACATTTGGTCCTAAATGCAATTAAGTTCTAAATGTAATAATGTTTAGTCCTAAACGTAACAAGCCTCCAATGCCAGTGCATTATTGTTATGGCGGACATTCAATTGCAATTGCAATTGCAATTGTTACAGTGACAGCTGTTGTATTAAAAAATCCTCCTGACGTAATCCTCTCGCGAAACTTAACACCGCGTCACATAACGCGTGACGCTTTCAAGAAATAATCTTTTGTTTTTCCTCGAAACGTGAGCTTGGGATGCTTGTCATTCCACCAACAAATATATGCGCACATGTGTACGTTATTTCTTAGACGCCGTAAAATTTGCATATCTTAAAGCACACTCAGCTTGCATCCTGATTATAATAAAAATAACTCACACGATCTACAATCCACGAAAATCAATATAGTTTTGTTCAGTAATCACAAATGATAATCAGCTGATTACTTAATATTGGAATTAAAAACAGAAGTCAAAAAGACACTACTGAGTGATTTTCGATTTTCATCGATTCTCCGTAGATCCCAGGAATATTGCTTTAATTTTACTTTATTGACAGATCATCGGGAGGATATTGGGTTAGAATGCGAAAGTCTGGTCAAATTCGTTCTCTGGAAAGGTATCGAGTTTTCTGGCTCAAACAATAACTCCATAGTCGGGTATGTTGACATCTCCCAAGCATATGAAGCAATTAGTGGCAGGGGATTTCTTCCAAGCCTCGATCACGTGCGAATTGAAAGCTCTGTATACGGAGTGAGGTCTGTAAACTCGAGTTTTCAACTGAACATGCGCAATAGTAATGTCAGCAATAGCCGTTTTACTGGTATCCACATCAAAGGAGGACATAAGAGTGTCACGCTGGAGAACTCTGTGGTGCAGAAAACAACTCTCGGTCACGGAATGTTCTACGATGGCAATGCCCCTGATACTGTCGATTTTTGTTCCTATGATGTGAACAATAACACAGCCTCCTTTCCATTAGTTTTCCAAGCGTTTGGCAAGGCATATTCCGCTGTCGATTGTGCCAAGGTAATAAGTTATTCATAAATTTCTGTAAGATAAAACCGTGAAAATTCGGTTATGACGTCTTGGCCGTTCGTTCGTTTGTTCGCTCGTCCCTCCGTCTGTCCTAAGGGAAGCCGAGGTAGTTGAACTAAGCTTTGTTGCATTAATTTTCGATCGAAATAAACATTTTGAGAATGCAGACGGAAAGAACTATAATTAATCAAGTGAAATTTATCTAACTAAACAAGTGTAAATGAATGAGTTGCTGTACTGTTGTTTTCAGACAAAAGAACAGTTATTGTTGAAAACTTGTTAAACGTGGTTAGAAAGAGGTGGTTTTTTCGTTTGATTTTTTTTTTCTCAATTGATATGTACATTGAGACCATAATGCTACGTTCACTCCTTTTAACTAGATCTGAATAAACGTCTTTTAGGTAATACGAGCTGAGCCGGGGCAGCATTTGGCTGTGCACTATCAATCCATCTCTGGGGCGTATTTTGAGCTTCACGTCTACGACGGAAATTCAACCAACGCAACAAAGCTCATGCTCCTGACTCAGTCGACAGGTGTCAATCAAGCTGTCACGCCATCTTCAAGTTCTGGTCACGAACTATACCTAAGGTTTCGATTTAGAGGTGGCAGTTCAGACACCAGGATAAAATTCATTGTGACCGGTGATAGAGGTAGGTGTGTTACTGCGGGAATTACACGTTGTTAGGCTTCGCATTCAGCATGAAATCAACTGCTCTCAGCGAGTTTGTCACATGCTTTGGGATCAGTCATTATTTGTCGGGGATCACATGGTTCTTAGGGGTAAGGGAGGATGGATCAGTCGTCGTCAACAGAGTACGGGGTGGAACTATAAACATTGACTGCAAATAAATTGCCAGCTAGAAGGAGGGGTGAAGGTCATAACAATATTTCCCCGTGGAGGGATCAGTTAAATTCTATGGGGACACAACAAAAATCCCTCCAACCCCTCTCCCCTTCACAGGCCAGGCGATAAATAATGTCCTTTCTCCTTAGTGGACTAATTAAGGGCTTAACGTCATCTCATACAAAAGTGAGACATACTATAACCTTTCTGACATATTTTTCGAATTTTATCACACTGTATTAGTTTCCCTTTCCTTTCTGAACTAGTATCCTGATTCATGATCGTTTAACCTTCGCAGATTGTTGCTCTCTCAGAATATCCCGCTGTGCATTCAGTGATAACCAAGGAAATGGTTTCTCCTTGGCAAATTTCATAGGAAAAATGAAGATTTCCTGGACTTCTGTGTTAAGGAACCAAGGCGATGGTCTGACGGTACACGGATTTTATGGGACGTTGGAAATATCCGATACTCATATGATTAACAACAGCGCCAACGGTCTCAGAAGGTCATACAGCAGCATTAAGTCATGTACAGTTCATCGACTTTTTTCCAAAACTAATGCCCAGAATGGACTTTATTTCTGGCACGTTGCTCTAAAAGGTAACGTTTCTGACACAGTTTTTAACGGAAACGCTTACAACGGACTTGCGATGGCTTACGGAGCCGGTGAGGTTGAATTTTGGAACGTAAGCTTTGTTTTAAATAAGCAATGTGGAGTAAGGTTTTCTGATGGGAAAGTTTCTACCGACTTCAAATATTGCGATTTCTCTCGCAACAGTCAAGATGGCGCTTACATTTCAAACGAGGCGGGATCCCATCAAATTTTTAACTGTACTGCAACTTTAAACTCGAGATATGGTATTAGCTTGTGCGATCCTTCAAGTTATATCTCTCAGCAAAAACAGTACTTTAACACGTTTACTTTAACAGGTTGCGTGATCAGTGAAAACACCCAATTGGGTGTTAAGTTAGCCCTGGAGACACATACTTCCAGTGTTAATATTACAATCAACAAAAATCACATTACACATAACAACGGAGGAGGCATTATCTTGGCCCCAGACCACAACCAGTGGTATTTTGATAAGCAAAGAAGAGTGACGGCTCTTTTGGTGAACAATCACTTTGAGCAGAACAAAGTGAATACAATTTACGTTTACTGCACAGGTTTTCTAGGACTAGACGCTTTTATCGAGTCAAACCTGTTCGTGAACAACACGGAAAATGTGATTAAACTTTTCGACGATTACAATTGCGGTAGCTATAGGAGGAACCCTGTCCGTGTCAAAATCATCAGGAACACATTTACAAAGAACCGTGTCGAAAATGCCATATTTATCGACCAATACTCATATCCTGGATTGCGATCGGCCACGTTGACAAATAACACTTTTGAAGACAACGAACCTCAAGTGAAAGATCTTTTTCCAGAGTTTTTTAAACGGCTAACACGTCGGGCGATAATTGTTATCCAAGAAGGCAATTTTACTTTGCGTGAAAACATCTTTGAAAATCCCGCCTTCGCTTATGAAATCTCTACGTTGCTTCGTGATCATCATCGGATTAGTGACGCCAAGTTTAACTGGTGGGGCTCATCAGATGAATGCAGAATTGTGGAGAGGATGTTTGATTTTCAACACAGAGTTCAGCTCTCGCAGGTAGATTTCTACCCGTTTTTACTTTCCTCTGAAAAACGTGCTGTTAGTTCCAACACTTCAAGACCAACCTGTTTCCTACGAGGCTCAAGTATAGGTGGAATCGTGGATAGAAAAATCACCTTGTCAACTGATGACTCGCCTTACCATGTCCTAGATGACATCATCATCCTGACCAACGGCATTTTAGTAGTACCAAAAAATGTTACTATTATGTTTCCTTCCAGATCAGCCATGGTTGTACGTGGTACTCTTCTTGTCAATGGAACCCAAAGTGAAAAAGTTAGATTTACGAAAAAAATCCACCAGGGAGCATTTCGTTTAGATGGGGGTGCTGGTCCGTGGGAAGGTAGATTGAATTTTCTTGTTAATGGCACTTGGTGGCCGATGTGCCTTCCGTACGGCAGGTCGTTTACCTCGGAAGCCAAAATCATTTGCCAACAACTTGATCTTACCTATTATTCTTACAGTCTTATATACCCCTCTGGAAACGAACCCGGTTTTCTTCATAACGTTGTCTGCGATGAGAATATAGACAACGACATAATGAACTGTAGCACCAAAACATGGAGTTATGGATCTTCATGTGGAGGGTATATCGTTGACGTGTTCTGTCGACAGTACAACTGGGCGGGACTTCACTTAACCATGACATTATATCAAAATGTTCTACGCCACTTGGAGATATCCGATGCTGGCTTCGCTTATCGCAGTGACATCCAAATTCCTGGTGCAGCTCTCAAGGTAGACTTCCACCATCATAATGTTCATATAAGTAACCTTTTCATAAACAACTCTGTGGGTTCTGGTATGGAGGTGGTATATCAGAGTCCGTTTCACTACACATCGTTGATGCCCCATTCTACAATATCAAATACGAAGTCGCATGGTATTCTCTCGCGTTCCCCTACGCTTATTGTTACAGACATAAAAATGGCAAGAAACAGTGGTAATGGATTTGAATTTAAAAGCGCGGCAAGCTCCTGGGAAAATATATGCAAATTTACTGCCAAAATGGCCAGCCAAGACATGAGTAATGTTTTCCGCGTCTGCTCCGAGAATGAAACTTTTCTACCAGCCGGTAAAGTATTTCACTTTACCTTGGAGACATTAGAAGAAAGCTTGCAGTTCAGATGCCACCATATCATGAAAACGGAACTCGGACATAGAATTGTCATCCAAGAACTTTACAAATCGTCGCAGTGGTATGAATCCAATATATACCTGAACGTGCACAATGGAATAAAGGCATCACAAAGGTTCCCATGTAAGATGGGCCTGTCATCATGGGATAATCAACCAATCTTCAAATCATCGAATTCTTCTATTATTTTTGACTTTTACAAGCGTGCTGGAATCAGTGGAGTGATCAACTTTTTTGTGTTTACAGTCAAAGGTAACTAACTGTCCATAAGTTATTTCTCTTTTGCATGATTTTATGCATTATATATCTCTATTCTTAGAAAATCGGAATCTCAATAAGTAGTCTCAAAATTTCTTTCTTAAACACAATGGGTACATCCAGTTACCAGTTTCTCCGTAGGAAAAAGATGAAAATGCCACATTGTTTACTTTTGAAAGTGCAAAAACAACAAAAACATACAAATGATCAGCAACGCATATGGGTTGGAACACCAAGATGAACTAGAAGACTGAACTGGGTTTGGGTTAGGGATAAAATTGGTAACTAATGTTAAAATTTCTTTCTATCTTATAAACAGAAAGAGAAAAATCTGGATACACGAGCGGAGAAATCAGGATAGCACGAACAACGATTGCCAGTAGCGTTCAGGGAGGCGTTCTGATTGGAGGTGCCATGTTGAAATATCTCAGCATTGTTGACACAGAGGTTTTTGCCTCGAAAGAGTTTGGCATCAGTCTAGGACCGATCGGCATCGAGGTTATCAAAATCACCTCAACAAATCTCAGTCAGAACAAGCGAGGAATTGTCATACAACATCTTACTTCTAAAGAACTTACTATACAAAACTGTGTTGTTAACAGCTCGCTTCTACATGGAGTATATATATCAATAGAGGGAAGATCTCACGTTGACAGCGACGTTATCACGATGGTTAACTCGACCATTACAGCGAGTGGTGACCGTGGATTCATGATCTATGATAGCGCATACGTTTTTAAACCTGATTTATTATTGACTGGTAATACATTTTCTTTGAACAAGAAAGGAGCCATTAACTATTATTTCTCTTCTTATCACCACGGCCATCCCCCTGCCATAAAAACAAAGTCTAATAATTTTTTTCGCAACCAAGGACCCACTGTTGAAATTTCAATCAACAGGAATATTGATGCAAGTTTTGTATTCACCAATAACACTTTCAGCGAGAATCAAGGCTTTGCTGTTTTCTTGTTGAAGTCTATGTCCTCGCGATATGGGCGGAGATCGACCTTAATTATTCAGCGAAATTTATTTCTGGCGAATCGTTGCCCAGCCAATGGAGTGATTAATATTGGCAGATGGGCAAGTCGTGACAGCTTCGAAATTTATAAAAACAACTTTACGCTGAATGAAGGACCCTGCGTGTTTTTAGAAGGCGCGGCCTCTTATGTTCAAATTTCGCTACAAAATAATCTGTTCAAAGAGAATCGTTGTGCAGATAGGAATGTGATAGAGGTTCTTCGCCTGGAAGAGCAGTTGACGTTGGAAAACAACATCTTCACAGGGAACGAAGCACAGGGTGTGGTTCTGCTTCAAGTAGTCTATAACATCTATCCATCCATTCAAAGAAAAAAGGTCGTCTTTACTAATAACACCATCTTCAATAATATTCCACCCTCGTCAGCTGAATTATCAAGCGCAAGTGGCGCATGCGCTTTTGTCCTTTCTGGTATCCTTTTATATAAAGAAGTGGAGTTTCACTTCAACAGATTTAATAATAGTCGATACACGAGGGAACTGTGTGTTAACGTTCCTGCCGTTTCCCCATATGACGTTATTAACATAACACATAACTGGTGGGGCACAACAAACGTTAGCGATATCCTTGACAAGATTTGGGACTTTTACGACAACTATGACGTGGCTATTACCAAAATATGGCCAATTCTTCTAAGTGGAGATGCCTCGACATTAATTCCTATCGGAGATGGCGAATTTACACCACATGGCCGTTATCTTGCAGGGAGACTGACGGAGTCTTTAATACTCAAACTGTCTCAAAGCCCTTATTTCATAACTTCGGATTTGTTTGTTACAGAAAATGTCACTTTAGTCATAGAGGCAGGTGTCATGGTGAGAGTAAACCCAGGAAAGAGCATACTTGTTACGGGAACGCTCAAGGTACACGGAACATTTCTAAAACCGGTTACATTTGCTATTAAGAAGCCTGCAGACTTAAACAGCAATTCTCAGTTACCCGTTCGTCTTATGGATGGTAGCTTCCCCTGGGATGGGAGAGCAGAAGTGCTTTACAACAACACATGGAAACCAATTGCTGCTCCAAAGATCATAAAGGTTAACAATATCTCTGAGGTACTATGTAAACAGCTTGGGTATGGTCCACCCCTTCTTACAATTTGGAAGCCTGATGTATCTCATCAAAATACTACTGAGTTGTTCCTGGTAGAATTCCATTGTCAAGGGAACGAAACAGCACTAGATGAATGTTCTGGAAACCAGGCAGCGGTAAATAATACCATCATCCTGCAAGAGATAAAATGCCACGGTGTACCTTGGGGAAATCTGCGCTTTGTGTCCCCTAGAGAGTCAAACAACTCCGAATCGCAATCAGTGTTGAAACATGTTCAATTTTTCCATTGTGGAAATCGCTTTGGAGTGTCTGTACCAGCTATTGAAGCCGTGATTAGTACTCCAAAACTTCAATTTGTGACAATAAAAAACTGCACTTCCGGCGGCTTAAGGATCTTCTCTCCTGCGAACGACATATATCTCAATCACAGCACTTTTTACAACACTGGAGGTTCTGGTGTAAACATGGTACAGACACGTAATAACATTGTGATGGAGAGCTGCGAGTCATCAAGAAATCATCGCGGCTTTTCCGTTGAAGAATCAAACGCAGAAAATATTCCCCGTGTCTACCATGGCCGAGTATTTCTTTGCGATATAAATAAAGCTGTTCTGATAACGAATGTCTCACTTCTCCACTTTCATGTTACGAGGCCGAAAAACGCATTGGTATCAGTAACTTGCAAAAAAGTACTGACAGTAGTCGAGGGTCGAGGAATAAAGCTGACACTGCTATACGCTAAAGGAAGGACGGACATGAGAGTTTACAGCTCTGCGACCACTTCCAATTTGATCATCGATAGCTCACACACGGGCTTATCTGTTCTTGTACACAATGAACTGTTCATTCCACACAGTGTAGTTTTATTGGAGTGGGCTGGTGACGTGAATTCAGAAGTCGTTATTTCAGTAGAAAACATGAATATTGCAGGTGAGTATTCGTATTACATATTTTTTCAGTTACTTCTGTTGCTTGTAACGTCAAGTGGGAAAACATAGCAATAATACAAGAAAAAGAACTTATCTCAATATTTTTTCAATATTTTTTTTTTTTTTTTTACTTTTCTCAATATTTTGCGCTATGCAATTTTGTGAGTTGAAGGAACAGAAAATATGGTCTTTAGTCAATGATGACTTTCATGCCGAAACGAAGTCGGCCAATGAGACACCAGCCTAATAAACACAAGTAAAGCCATGCACTTGCTCGATTCGGAATTGCTACTACATAAATAATTATGAACTTACTCTATTAGCTCAGATATTGTGGCCTGTTCATCTCCTTTACAGACGGCCCTTGCACGTTTGAAGTTGGACTCTGTGGCTGGCAAACATTCACCAACATGTCAATCAATGGAAACAACGCTACAACAACTTGGAGAAGAGCTACTTATCGGTGGCCATTGTATCTGAAGGACTACTCTTACTTCTCTTATCCCGGTAAGTTTTTTCCTCTTCAATTTACAACAGAGTTTACCACAAGAATCGTGCAAATGATGAATAATTCAGACATCTCCTCGAAAATGCTCGTTGTACAACAAGGCCAAAATTGAAAATTGGTAAAAGAGGGGCAGTTTCAACATCAGATGGCTGACACCTGTGAAAACTACTAGCTGCTTGTCACAACGCGTAATTGTAATTCTGACTACTTGTTGAGGCTATTCCTCAACAAGGTTTTATGTTAGTCCGTTCCGTTCCTTAATTTTTTTGTATGTCAGTCGACCACAATCCTTCAGTAGTAATTGTTTATTTTTGAGCCCCTTTACGCACGTGGAAAAGGCGCTTGTGAATGATTTAGGTACGTAAAACTGTTTTCCTTTCTTTCGTTTACCGCCTTTTATCATGTGGTTTTTACTGCTCGCTGAGCCTCGTAATTTATGATGAAAAGGCGACCGGATGGTTTTGTAAACATTGGAATTCTTCGCCGTCATTAAATTCGTTGGGTTAATGAGCTGTTCTGTTGTCATTCGGCATCGACGCCGCCATATGTGTCCGACCCGGACACTACTGCTTTAGGGAGAAAACTTTGTTGACATCTTTTTGCTATGAGACACTAGCTTCCAACTGTATTGCTCAATGAAGTATGTAAAGCGAGGCCTTTGTTTTCAAAAATATCTGGTAGTCTAAAGAAATAAATTAGTTTTCTTTTTTTTACTTTTCAATTATTCCAAAGTTTGTCGGATAAACACATCGAGAAAAATCAGTGGCGAAAACTAGCAAGTTGTCGGTGGATGACTAGTGCTTATATCAGCTAGTTCGTTTAAAAGCGAAAGAACATCTCCATAATACTTGCGTGACTTTATGGTAAACACGAGGCAATGGGTATCTAGAAAAAAGACATCCATCTCAATTTATCATGTACAATTTTTTTTTTCCTACGCTGTAGGTCGGTTTCTCTATGTCAGTAAAAGCTACAGGGCGCACGTTCCAAGTGTACGTGCGATCATTATCAGCCCTCTCATAAATAAGTTATTCCGGGTCTGCTATGCTGCGTTCGTTTACCGCTTGAGGATACCTGAAGGAACTGGATTGTCGCTTTACTTGGAAACAGGTTGGTGGACGCCAACATGCACTATTTTGCATTGCACTTTTGTTGTTTTACTTCTTCTTTGTTGCAAGTTGTCGTTGTTTCACATATCGTTTTTTAATACTTTCCAATTATTTTTTTGAATACAGAACAATAAGCACCTTTTTCATGATATCTTTTTTGGGATTTGTGCTTACTCAGCATAGTTTCGTGCAAATTTTCCCGAAGAATGCTTCTTATTCATTTTTCCTTAACCAAAATACAGGAAAATCTTTTACAATTAATCAAAAGCTCATCTGGCGTACCAAAAGTATTTACGTGCCAAACTGGAGGAGAGTGGTTATTGAATTACCTCTCGACGGTATCAATAATTACAGACTGTTGCTTGAAGCCCATTACAACAAGTCATCTTATTACTCAAGATACTACGTCGCTGTAGATGATATAGAACTTAGGAGCTGTTCCCACAAAGGTAACTTGCTATTTCCATGCGACAGGGCTTATTTAAATTGAGTGTTTGTAAAACCAAGCCAAAGTAATCAGAGAGATCAGCAGAGCATGCGACAATTTCAGAAAGACCCCGAACCACATGAGGCGCGGAGGGGTTAGTTCTTTTCACACCTGTTACAGAACACCCACAACCATGAGTTATGGGGTCTTTTTGATATGAAAATCGTTCTGCTCTGATAAATTTAAAAAAAGTCTTCACGCTCAAACAACAGTATTCCAAAGACCATATTCCTTAGCAATTTTTGAAAGCTTTTTATCTGGATCGATATTCATCTGGTAAAAAGATGATTAGCCGTCTTACACCAATCAAACAAATGTTCTGGTTTGAAAGTGCAGGCACCAAATCATCCTATGGAGGGGTGGAGGTTGGGGTAGGTTAGCATTCATTCCTTAACAGACATGTAAAATGGAGCCACGCTGTCAGCTTGCTATGGTTTACCTAGTGAGAGCATCTTTACTGCTGCGAAAACGTGGGTCTGATAAATAAATTGCTGGTTACAAATACGAATACAGTGGTCATTGAACGAAAATTTCGATTCTTATAAGATCTCTCCTCCATTACAGGGGAACACCGAATATTCAACAGTGTTTTTAGGGCCAACACTCACGAGTCTATTAACTATAACTCAGTGTCTGACGGAAGCGATAGACGACCTCTTTTCAACATTGAACGTTGCGAGATTATTGACACACCAGTCTCCTCTTCAAAAGCGCCTCACAGGAGTGCTATTTCCATCGACATCCAGAGCAACAGGTTTACGGTCGCTAACAACTTTGTCGCGGGTAACCGCCAAGGAGCGATTAAGATCAGTCTGGGAGGAAGCGACGAATCAAGTTTGTTAAAAAGCTTGATAAAAGGCAACACTTTCTCCGCGAATGCCAATGGTACTTTGACAGTAAAAGGAAGGAAGGGCTCCTACAGCTTTGTTCATATTGTCCACAACGCATTCGACTGTAACCTTGGACATGGAAGCACACTTAAACTTAGTAATGTTCAGAGCGAGGTCGTGAATAATTTCTTTTATAACAATACTGGATTGTACTCAATCGAATACGACTTCTCCAGCGCTCAGTCTGATCAACAGAAATGTGAACTTAACACGCTGTTTCTTAAGAGCGGCCTTGGCCAGAATTATGGTTTGACAATCATGTCCAACGGACCAATGAAATACCACAGAAATAATATGAAAAATCCACAAAATCTTTATGACTTGAGTTCAACGTTAAATGCAGCATCTGAACGGATTGATGCAACGCATAATTGGTGGGGGGTTGGAATAGACCCTTCTGTTGGCTGGCGGGTTTTTGACAATGATGATGACTACAGGCTGGTATCTGTTGCTTATAAACCTTTTGAAAAACTGCCCCCAAGAAATATTTTATCCGGTAAGTACAAGTTTGTAAAATTTATGTAAATGCCAAGTATCAAACATGAGGTTTATTGGCAAAAACGGAAGAAAGGAACACAATAGGAGGCCTTGAAATCTACATTATCAACTCAGATGATAAAACTAGATTATCTTGATAAGTGATAAAGGTGAAGAGATGTGAATTGTATTCTTTATTTTACTTACCTAGGCCGTCAACCGACCTCAAAGTCAAATATTCACCAAAAAGTCTTTGTCGTTATTTTTTCTAGTTGGATGTCCTGCAAATTGGCTGAAAGTTGGGTCGACTTGCTACATTATTAGAAGAGGTAGTAGAAGACTGATGGAAGCTAAGGACTACTGCGAGGTACTGGTACAATGATGGAAAGAGACAATGAAAGTGGCTCGAAATTCGTTTCAACGTTGATAGTTAATACGGGTGCGATATTCTGGTTTCAGAGAGAGTAAATTATTTTTTAATGCCTTCCAACTTTTCGGGTATGTTAGGAACTGATATTTTGACCAGCTCGTGTCTATTAATTTTCTTAAAAATATCGCCACCGTTGTTGTCAGTATTGTCATCATCGTCATCGTTCTTGTTCTTCTTTTAAGTACTATGGAGGACGAGTTGCGTCAATATCCATACCAGATGAAGTAGAGTTTATCAACATTGCACTAACAGCAATTGCACCGAATGGAAAATCTCCTGTTCCAGTTTGGGTGTCAACTGAAGATGACCTGGTGGGTATTTAGCTGTAAGCAAGAAGGCTTGAGAAAGTAGCTCTTGTGGCAACTGCTTCGTTTAAGGCTCTACCAGGAAAAAAATTCCCTCTTGGAAACTGGTTTAACTTAAAACGGAGATGAAAAGAATGCTTAAATCTTTCTCATGAAGAGGATAGAATTGTGTCGGTGCTTAATTATCATTCAATTCTTCTCATATTGTATTATGAGTAGTTCAATTATATATTGTTTGATTTGGACAGGAGGAAAGAATGAATGGTCAAAGATGCACCGTCTTAACACACTACAGAGTTCAGAAAGTTGTTCCGTGTGACAGTCTTTACCCATTTGTATGCACTAGAATAGCTGGTATGTAAATTTTCATGAATAACGTGTACAAAGAAAAGTGAAAGTATCCAGAATTCCAAAACCTGTAAAGGAAGCATTTAAGAGAATACTAACATATTTGCACTGATCCAGACTTCCCTCTTCTTGTTGGCCTGTTTTAGCATTTCTCTAGATGACCTTCCCGTTACCTACCCGGAATCCTTTCTCTTTTTTTCAGTTATCCGCTGTCCGAACGGCTGTTTCCATAATGGTGACTGTGTCGGTGCTACCTGCTTCTGCTACCGAGGGTGGACAGGACGCGACTGTTCGCAGTATCACTGTAATGATATACACAACTGTTCTGGCAATGGACGATGTGTTGGACCAAACGTGTGCAAGTGTTCTCCGGGTTATCTAGTAAGGATGCATGTATTTTACTTTTTAGATGAGAAAAGGAGACGCTATGATCAGATGAGTTAGGAACTGAAAGATTTAACCTTCAATGGTTCTTTAATAGGGTCGAGGCTGTTCCTACTCGTACTGTTCGAAGTTTCGAAGCTGTTCGACTTGTTCCAAAGATCCTTTTTGTGGCTGGTGTGACAGTGCCCAGCGTTGCATGCCGGGAAACGCTTTCGGTTCCTCTTCTGAGCAGTGTCCAGACTGGTTCTATTACAACTGTTACACTATTGGCAGTGTAAATCACTGTTCAAATCAAATACAGGTACACTGTTTGTGCGAGCTTGCTTATCGATAATTTACCAACTAAACAGGATCACGCAATTATACAAATCAGAAGAGAAAAATGGAAACAAGAGAAGCTTGGTATACACAACTAAGGCAGTAAAGAGTGAGAGCAAAGAAAGTCAAGAAAAACAACGGAATTAAACCTCTCAGAAACTTGGATGCCCACGATATATTTTAAAATTGAACGAGTGGGAACAAATCACCAGCCAAGTACATCGTTCGAGGACCCAATTCTCATAGTTTAGCCTATTGCTTCGTTAGGTAAACTAGTCGATCTTATCGCCCTTAGGTGACTAGATGTAAGAAAGTGAAACGTCGTGGTCCAAATTGAATGTGACTTGCTCAATTTTCATGGTTTTAAATGACTACTTACAGAATAGATAATGTCTTTGCACGCAAGCAATCTGGCTAGAAGATCTAGTTACATGTATCATTGTTTTTTTTTCTCACGAAAGCTTTTCTTTACTATTCGAATTGCATAGAGAGTCGATTGCACCAACCGACAGTGTAACACGAGTCAAGAGGCAACTACTTTGGAGTCTTGCCAGAGGTGTACAGACCTTGAGAAGTGCTACAATTACGTGGTGAGTGTTTTTAATTCGAATTCCACTTTTTCTGTAACAGTTTTTCTCTTATTCGAATACTCTTTTTAAGGTTTAGCTGTCGTAGATCAAAAACCAACAAAAATGATAATTAATTTTACAGGATGACGACAAGTGCAGGGCATGGAATGCAACACGTTGTCCCAACGGTTTGATCCAAGTAGATTACACGGATCCAAAGCGAATCGAAAACATTATTTTACGAAACAATGTCAAGGTCGTTGATCCAAATACTACCATCATCTACAGCTGTCCCGTTCTATTGCCCGGTCAAGATGATGCAACTTCGGTGTTTGTTGCACCTAGAAGTCTGGGCATTAAAGTTGGTGACGTGATATCCAGTGCACAAGCGGGTGGAATAATGCACAAAGTTAACAAGACTGCAAGTGTTGGTGAGAAATCTAGTGGAAAAATGAGAAGTTTGTAATTGACTGTCGAGAAACCAAATACAAAGTAATCAAAAGAGTCAATCAGAGAGGTTAACGTCAACATATGCCTAAGAAAACTTGGGGATAAAAAAGAGGGGAAAGCGCGAATCACAAGTCGCGATTGGTTTTACTTTTGCATCTGATTGGTTGAGACCCCAAACAGAGCGAAGTTTGGCAAAATGAAAAGAAATCTCGAATTGTGTAGACACTCGATTTAATGGATTCGCTAAAGGTAATTGGAGTGTACTTTGGAATTGATGTACGTAGTTTATTAAGACGCTTCGAAAACATTTGAGAGATTACCTTCTTGTTTTGAACTGACGAGAATTAAAAAAAAAGGCGTCACTCGGGCATTTTGAAGAAGGGCAAGTGAAAATCTCGAGGGTACCCTCAATTATTTCACTGAGCTCATCCGATAACTTATTTCGAGATTTAGAATCTTTTGTGTGGGTTAACTATTTTTATCGTTATTTCAACATCCAGGGCCCTTCACAATAATACAGGGAACACTTTCTACGATTGAGGAGGCGATTCAATATGCAGATTTTATTCAGGAAGTTTCTCCAGTTAAGCTAGTTGATGATACAACTTTGGATGAAGAACCAAACTTTGAAAACTTACATGGCCTTTTGACTGGAAGTATTAACTTGAACAGCTCGGCGGATCTTCATGTTTTTACGGCGGGTAAATTTTTATTGGATGCCTGTTACTCCTTTCTTCCATTAATTGTAAACTCTTTTAGAAAGGATTACTGTTGACATTTGTAATGTTTTCGGGGTTTCAAAGTGCATGGTTTAATACTTTCCAGAGGTTCTTGTTCAAATAGAATAAACGAAAACAAAACCGAATATCAAGGGAAAATAGCTAAAAAAATCATCCTCCTTTTTTGTATAAAGGTAGAAACTAGATTGCATTTATTGTAATAGTTGCCAAAATTTTCGCTTTTGTGTTTATATCTGCTACATCCATAAGCAACCTATACACACTTCGCTAGTGTGAGAAATCAACCCATAACGGTTCCTCTTCCTCGATATCATGTTTGTATTCTTTGTGTTTGTACGTTTCAGAGACGTCAGTCTACAAATGGGTGGGACACATCTATAAAGTAGATGATGCTCTGGTATCCTCTCAGTTTCTTGTAATCAATAAAACACATGCTCTTGATGTCAAGCCTGGAGATGTGGTCCTCTCTAATCAGAGTCATGGGTTTATTGAGAAGGTAGTCAGGGTCAATCAGACTTCCGGTATGGTATTCCTAGAAACAGAGCTCGAACGGTGTACACAGAATACCACTTGGACCAAAAGGTATATGTAGTAGCAGTAGTACAAGTTTTAAATTGTCCCAAGGACTGCAACGATGATACCTTTACCATAGGGAATTAATTATTAATTTGATCAATTATAGTAGGAAACAATTGTTATTCCCTTGATGAAAAGTAAGGAACGTAATTTTAAAAATGGGGAAGTGAGTGCTCTCTCTCGCTCTCTCTCTCTTTTTTCTTTTGTTGTTTTGTCATATTTAAATGTGATAGTTTCTTCTATTTACTTTCTTAATAGCTTCATAATAACACCAAACCTCATTCGACATGATCATTCTGTTTCTTCCTTTTCCTTCTTTCTTTCAATCTTTCTTTCTCTCTTTCTTTCTTAAAAAGTTTCTTTCTTTCTTCGTTTTATCCTTTTGTCCTTCTTTCTCAATTTCTTTATTGCTCTCTTTCTATCCTCCTTCCTTTCTTCCTCTCTTTCTTTCTCCCTTTTTTCTTTCTTTCTTTCTTTCTTTCGTTCTTTTCCTTCCTTTCTTTTTTCTCCTTTTTTCTTTATTACGTTCTTTCGTCCTTTCGTCCTTTTGTCTTTCTTTCTTCCTCTATTTCCTTCTTTCTTCCCTTGCGTTGTTTTCTTTCCGTCTTTCTGTGAGAAATGGAGGAGTAAATTTTTCAGTTTGAAGCAATGATTTAAACTTCGATCCCTTAACAGCACTTTTGGTCATAATTTAAATCCTCTAGTAGCACATTTCAGAATTCTGGTTCTCTTTATATTTTTCGGATGAGCTCTTACTGTAAGAAATGTAGTGAAGCAAAGACATCTCTTCTAGCAAAACGCAAGAAAAAAAAGAAGAAAATAGAAAATGAAAAACTCTCGGCAGTAACACAAATGATAAAAGCGGTAAAAGTTGTTGTGGTCACTATGTGTAAGGGATACCATTCAGATTGATTGATTGATTGATGGATACACTGTTCATTCAGAACTGATATTGTTTTATGTCCTGTGTAGATTTAAGTCTCGTATTCCGGATTCCTCGTTCGATGATGACTTAGTCTGCACAGGAGGTGACAACAGCCATGGATTGATAATAACTGAACCAGACCCTATTCAAGAACAGATATCAGTCAATGATTCTATCATAGGAAGAACCAGCCATCCCGTGCTTGCAAAGGTAAGGGAAATATATATATGTTTCTGAATTTACTCGTCGAATCTTATTTCAAAAAAAATTTTTTTTCAGTGATTATCTCGGACGCTTAGAAGCCAGGAAATGGCTAAATAAAAGACAAACGAGGTGTTCCCCGACCCTGACATTGATAGGTGACTATACTGTGGGCCGTCCCCCGCATGGTTCGAAAAGTCCCTAGGCCCATTTTTTTTTTTTTATGATACGCTAAGTTACCATTAGCTTTGAGGAGACCTCTAAATGTAAGTAAGTAGGATTTCGATAGTAAACGAAGAAGTAACACCTATCTCTAGGGATAGACAAGATGATCGCAAAAAGAGTTTAAAATAAGGATGATAGGAAAAAACTGAGGCTTACGTCATACCGTTTATATTGTTTGAATCTTGAGCTTTAAGGAGACAACAGAATATTAGTTTGGTAGAAATTGGACAAAGATTTAACCACAAAAAAAAAAAAAAGATCATTCATAAGACAAGAAGGTGAAAGGACGGATAAAGATAGAAAATATTAAAACGGCTTAGACTTTACGAACTTAAGTTCTCAGGATACTCAATTTTTCAGCATTCATCAGAAGCTCTACTGCAGAAATCAATATTGCTCGTGGTAAATTTTGTAACTTTTAACCCAGGTTGTGGAGTCACGCGTGTCTGGAGACTTCTTGCTGATCGAAGTACTTCCCGTTTTGTCCGTTGTGAATGGTTCAGCTATCGCCATAGCGACACTTGATCAACTCCCACAAGAACACAGGAGACAAAAAAGAGCTGTCGAGACAAAGAAAGTAGAGAAAAAGAAAGACTTTTTAGAAAAAAAAATAAAAGTACGTGGTTGTAGTTTGATTCTAAAAAAAGGACTACTCCTCGGTGTAAAAACCGCTGAATCCCACGAGTGACGTAAAACAAAGACAACAGAACATTATAAACAATAGCGTACAGCAAAACAATACCTCATGAAACAAAGAAAAGCTTCACAGGTTTTTACAACGAGGATGACTGAAAAAAAGCCACGCGTTGAGTAAATGCTTTATAGCCTTAAACTATTCACTGACGGATTGAAGACTGAAAGAAAGGTGGAGGGTTGACGAGTGGGGCAAACAGACAGACATGGAGACACTAGTGGACGGTGGGATGTATTTCCTTTGATCTGTGTGTGTGATTGGCTGGTTGACGGATCGGTGATTCATTAGCTTGCTGTTAGCTAGTTCAATAACACTGTATCGTGGTTTTAATTTCCTTCAAGATCTAACGCCCCACGATTAACATTCCTCACTACCTTTTCCTTTTTTAGCTGAAAGGTTCAAGCTCCGTAACTGTCAAAGAGACGTTCGAAGTGGATCCAAAATTTACTGTCTCTTTGACAGAGGTCAAAGACAAAGACGAGGACGGGTTATTCTATACCAAATACAGCTCTTTCAGTGTAGAAATGGGTGCAACATTAACCTATGACGTTAGTGTACATGTAGATATCAAAGCCAGCGTCAGGTAATTTTTGCATTAGTAAACAGTATTTATGGAGGATGAATTGGCTCATATTGCATTTATTGTTTAGTGTAATTTTTGCCCAATTTCAGACATCTGTAACAGAGTAATACCTAGACCAGACTAGTGGGTATTTTTTCATGAAAACAATGAATGCGGAAGCAAATTGAATGGCATCGGTTGACCTTTTTTCAAACCTTACTGTGTGACTACTGTTACTGGGGTTTATATGCGGAAGTAACCGATTGAATTGCAGGAACTCAATTCTATTTTGCCAAACGCGTTTGGTGCAATGTTGCGCGGGACAAAAAGAGATAGAAAAAGAGTTGACAAAAAAATTGGAAGGACTCCAAGGCTCATTTCTGTAATCAGATCAGCCACTTTTATGAATTTTTAATTTGCTATTAATCGCACCGTTAAATTGCAATCTCAACTGAAGTAGGCTGAGTAGGGGTTAAGATCAAAAGATTATGAATCTCTTGGTTTAGCAGACAGAAGACTTGTGTAAAATTCTGAAACAAGAAGATTATTCCTTCAATGTCTGTAGTATTTAAACTGACATCAGAACAATAAATGGATTATATTATACGCTTGCACCGTTCCGACTTTAGTATTTCTCTTTAAGTTAATTTTTGAAAATTTAAGATTGATAAGCTTGATATCGTGTAACTGCT